ACCTCCCTACAAAACAGAAAATCCAGTTTACTCCTGCCACAGCCATTTCCTTTAATTGATGGTGCTTTCATGTAAATCCATCACCCAGCTAATTTTGTGATCTCAGCCTAAATAATGTTATTTTGACTAAGTGCTTAATGGTTACATTGATTTGTAAAAACCCCTCAGGTGATTCTGTCTTGCAAATGGAGCAAAAGTGGTGATTTATTAAAAGGCTGCCTTTTGAAAGGTGTTCTGAATGTCACCCACAGCCACTGCTATTTCATCAAATAGATCACATTTCTCCTACTGCCTTGTGTCTGTGAAGGTCTATGGCTAACCTGAAGTTATGTCTAAATTGACTTATTTTAGTAATTTTATTTCTAGTATAAACTTTGTTGGCACTGGAATATGGCTGGAATAACTGATTTTTATGGCTGTATGAACAGTAACTTTTAGCAAGTTTAGACAAATACAGTGTAGATTAAGAGGGATATTCTGCTTCCAGCTGTATCACTTAAACTGTTGCTCATAAATGATCAGGAAGTCTTCCTTGTATTTCTACTGTGTGTATGCAAACCACCAAACTGCCAGTTCTCCAGTGCTGGAATCATCTTCCTGGCTACTCAGTAGTATTGCCATAGTGCCTGATATTCTGGTTGTGACTGATGCTGCCTGCCTGGCATCACAGAGCACATAAAACAATTAATGTGGTTTACAGAACAGGTCATTCATAGCCACCTCTGTGCCAAACTCAGCACTGGTAGGCAATCTTGTGCATGTGAGGGTCTGGCACTTAGGATATCAGTTCTTACAAAACTAATTTGATATTTTACACTTTTTCCTGACTAGGTGAGAAATTAATGCATGTTATGCTGCATTGTTACAGCACAGAACCATTTTGTTTATTCTCCATTTCTCTAAATGCCCTTCCTTAAAGGAAAATCTAGTGGAGCCAATTGCACATATTTATGTTGAAGTGAGGCAAGTACCCAAGCAGTTAATACTTTGATTCAAATAGGAGTCTGAAATACCCATATGGTTTAGAATTAGAACAGCTTGTCACCATTTTTTTAATTTTTGATTCATTATTATAAGCTAATAGAAGGAGACAAAATGTATGTTCAGAACTTTAAAAAAATATTTTTCCCACTTTATTAAATTAGGCAAAAAATAAATTCTGCTTTTTATATCAAGATAGCCTTTGAATACAACTGGAAAGAAAATTTTAGTTTCTTTTTCTAGTTTATTCATAAAAAGACATATTTATGTCTTGTGCCATCTGCTTTATTTTTCCTTGCATTTCAGAGCAGCTATAGATTTTGCAAACTGATTAACAGCATTGCAGAGGCCTGTTGCTTTTACTTTGATTGAACCTCATTGCTCAGCAGCAGGACTGGAAAGAGAAATATCAGGAATATTCAGGATATGCACACTAAAACCACTAAAAAATTAAAGAAATCAGAAAACTAAAGAATTCAGAAATCTTTGGTCATCACTAGAAACGACAGGAGATTATCCTGGATTGACGTTTTACGTGTCCAAACATGGAGCAGGTCTCTGGTGTCTGCTCAAGTGCACAATTTAAATCTGTCTGAAGCCATCCTGTGCCAGCTCTGCCCTCCTGGGGCTCTTCCACAGGCCTGCCTCATGCTGGGTCCCATCTCCTGCTGTGGTGCTGCCTCTGATGCTCAGCTTGTCTGCACTGAAGTCAAGAATTCTCCATCCCAGTCCTGTTCCAGCTCTATTTTCAGCACCAGTGCCCTGTGGAGCTGTGGGGCACTGTCCTCAGCCAGTGCTCTGCACCCCAGGACTGCTGCCCAGCACCAACCCTCTCTGTGGGGCCAGCAAAGTCCTCCAGAGCTCTGAGTTTGCAGAATGATGACTAAAAATGGGGAAGACACAAAGCAGTGCTGAGGAGGTTTTATATGCTTGCTTTGGACTAATAACTACTGGGGCAAATAAAATGTACAGGGTAGAGAATGGTGCAAAGGTGGCAGGAGCCCCTGTCCATCAGCAGAAGCAGATGCAAAAACTTAATAAAAGCAAAACTTTTTATTTAAGTTCATTTTCAGTTAGGAGCAGGAAATGTTTCTTCCCATATATGATGTGTTGCATTAACAATTGCCAGGACCAAGAACCAGACATGATAGCAAAGGGTTATTGTTGATACCAGGACTATTCCCAGATGCCATTGCTAATGGAAACAATTTGCAAGTGAATAAAGTTTCATGCTTCAGACCTTAAGGCAATACTTATTTATTAGAGATCTAAACCCAAACATGAACAGTAAACTGTGGATTACTGTGTTACTTTCTCCTTTAACAGGACCCTAATCTGTTATGTAGCTGTCTCTTAAGTCACCAACACATGCCAAGTTATCCCATTTAATTCACTAGAACCACTAGAATTATTAAAGCAAATAGAATTTGGTAGCAAGGTTTGACTCTCAAATGCAGGTCTCTATCCTCTTACTTGATTTTGTTAGTCTCCAATTAGTCCCAGATTTCTGTCTCTGAAACTGTTATTCCAGATACAACTCATTAACAGTGTAGAGATGGATTTTTTTTCATTCCCTGTTCAATATTTGATCTCTGTGACTGTATAGGAATTAATTGAATTTCTTCCTGCCATATTTCACTGTAAAAATGTAGCCAGTTTCCCACAAACTTCCAGTCTACTGGAAGTTTCTTCTACTTGTTCCAAGAAAATCTGTGGGATTTTTAATTTCTGTTTAGTGTTCACAATCAAGTGCTTGCCAGAACACTGCAGTTACTTTAATACCTGGTGGCTTTAAATCATGTCACTCCACTGAAATAATCAGACTTTTTTAGAATAAAATATTCAATCCTAGGGGGAGAAAAAAAGGGGGGGACAAAAAAAAGGCAAGAAATTGTTTTGGTTTTGCCACAGGAAGAATTTTTCTTTTTCAGAAATGTAAATGAAGATTAAGTCAGCTAAGAAGGGCTGCAACAGCAGTTTAACATTTATATTCATTAGACAGAGAAGTGATCTGCTGCTCAAGTAGTAGGGATATACCTGCTTGTGATGTTTCATTATCACATTAACCATATGTTTCATTATTCACTGCTATTCTTTTACATGAAGACAGATGTAAAAACAATAAAGTAGTTATCACAGTGATAACCTGTCTTATGTTACAGGTAAAATTGGCTTCCTGTGCTGGATATTGTTCACCCTATTTCACCCATTTTCTCTATTCATGTTTCCCAGCATGTTGATTAGTTGCATCTAAATTTGCAGAGTGGGGGAGCAGTATTATGGCAACTCTCTTAGTGGAAACATTCCTCAGACCCACTACTTGAGTTCATTAGACACTGTCTTAATTTCCAAGATTTACAGCCTCCCCCTTCTTCTGTGAACTTTCTGTACTCCCTAAAGCATCTGAAAAATACTGAGTTTTTTTCTTTCTTCTTAATTGCTGGTGACAAAACTGACAGGAGATGACTGGTGATAGGACAACAAAATTGCACTTCAAAAAAAGCACAGTCTCAGATACTGAAGAGCATGTTTCATGTGTTTTACATGTTTCACTCTGTTTGAGTAATTTAGCTCAGAGCAAGGTTCTAAATTTCTACCAGAATTGAGCGGCATCAATAGTAATTCAAAATGTTCTTTAAATGGAAGTTTTCTTTCCTAGCTCAGGCTTTCTCTCTTTTATGTATGATATCACTTTAATTTATGATTTTCAAGAGTCAACATTTAAGAGTCACTTTCTCTAGACCCACTGTTCACACAGACTGGCATGGTGATACAGGTTCAGCAGTCCAAGGTGTTAATTCCCAAGCTGATCTCTACATTCCAGATAGCTGCAACATGGCCTTATATAAAAAGGAGAGGCTGACTTCATTGCTCATCAGCCCCTACTGGTGTAACGGGGAGAGGAACTCTTACAGAACCTTTTTTGGACTCAAGTAACCCCAATTCCAGGGTTACCTGAATAACTGTTGCAATGTCAATCCATTAGTAACACCAGACAAAGGCAAGCTTTCTCCTGTAACTATACAAGAAGTGAATTGGACTTGTTTTCTCCATACAGGAATAAAGATATACCACAATGCATTTTTTTTATCAGCTGCTAATTTTATGAATTATGATTGTATGTGCTTTGGGGAAAATACTCTTCCACAGCAGAAATACTCTTATTAGTACCAAAAAAAAAGTGAAAAAGTATTTAGTGGGCTTAGACAATTAGAAAATTCAGCTTTGTGATATTAATGATTAAATATTAATCTCTTTGAAATTTTTAAAATTTTGTAAGGATGCAGTATTGGCACAGTTCTGCATCTGTAGAGTTTTATTGGATGTTTGTTGAGCCTTATGCTGGAAGACAGAATCTATGTTAAACCAGCTTCAGAACTGCTCTGCTCATCAAAGTCTTAATAGCTTTGCATATATTAGAATATTTTTAACATGCCTTGAATTTTCTTTTATTAACGGTATTGAAAAAATTTTAAAATATATGCTTCTTGCACAAATAAGTAGCCAACCTTGCCTAATTCCAACCAGTGTAGCTGGCAGGATTTTAAGAGGTTATAGTGTGGCAAACCAGAAAGTAGTGTGGTATACCACAAAGCTCACAGTTCAGACAATAAGAACAGGGAAAAAAAAATCTTCCTTTATTCCTTTTATGATGTTTATCCCTTAATCTCAGAAGCCGCAGTGTGTTCTTACCCAGCACAAGTCTTAACACACATATCCTTGCAAACTCTCTTTCATCTTCACTGTAATTTGGGACTCTCATTTCCACCCTTTCCTTCTTCCTTGTTGAAATAAAATCTTTCTATGGATAGCCATCTGATTCTGAGTGACACTTTCAAATAACAGGGAGGTTGATGAAGAGTACTACATTACACCATCATAATTTTTAAATAGCACAATCTTAAGGTAATTTCTGTTGTCAAGTTTCCATCAGATTAATCTCAATTTCTCTCTTTCCTTTTTTCTTTCTCTTTTTCTTTCTGCTTATTTTTCTTTTTTTCTTTTAATTCTTCCCATAGCTGTAACTTATACAAGTTACAAGAAAACACCGCCGCCAGTACCCCCTCGCACCACTTCCAAGCCGCTGATCTCGGTGACGGCGCAGAGCAGCACAGAGTCCACGCAGGACGCGTACCACGATGGCCGGGCCCAGAGGATATCCCCGTGGCCGCAGGACGGGCGAGCCATGTACAACTCCACCGACAGCCTGGACAGCAACAAGGCCATGAACCTGGCCCTGGAGACAGCGGCTGCCCAGCGCCACGCGGCCGAGGGCCAGAGCACCTCCATACGCACCAGTGACAAGGCCATCCTCGTGACAAAAGCAGAGGAGTTCCTCAAGAGTCGCCGCTCCTCTATAGGGATCCAGGTAGTCTATCCTATACACCTGTGTTCCTTGTCTTCTTCCTGTAAATAGCATAGAGTGAGTCATTCAGCTTCACTAGCTCTGATAATCTCCCAAACAACCCCTGGCTGCTTAGCGGTAATTGCAATTCACATCATGGCTGTGCAGAAAAGTCTTCGGCTAATGCACTGTACATGGGAGACAATGAATGAATAAATCTCTAGGGAGGTTACCTGTCATTAACACTTGATATGAAAATTATACTGCAGAGCTACAGGTGAACAGCATGTTCATCTCCTTCCCTCCGTGAATTAACAGTCCTTTTAATAGAATTTCACCAGCTTTAAAATGCTTTACTGTACTTTTTCCATTATATTTCTCTTTTGACCTTGGAAAATGAGTAAAGTCAGTCAATCTTCAGGTATTCTACCTAAAAAGAGACCCTTGCTCTTTTAGTTGTGCTGGGAAGAAGGTACCAAAAAAGATAAAGAAATGTTCTGCTGTAGATACAGCATAATTAGAGATGGCAAGTAATAAAAGAACATTAATAAACACAGTCTTAGAGCATTCTTCCATTTGTCCATCAAAACCCACAATATTTATTTCACCTGACAAAATGTGTGTCAGACTGTAGAAAGCTTAGTCGAGTTCTGTTGTTTCAGGCAAATGAAATAAGACAATTCCAAATGCAAATTTTGATTGCTATTCCTTCTGCTAAATAGTAAGTGCTAGATAGCTAGAAATGGTCATTTGTTCAAATCCCTAGGAAATACCAAGTAGTAATAAAAATTGGAAAGTTGAACTTGCAAAGAATGCAAAGTCCTTTGAGACAGCAGTGGAAGAAAATTTTGGCTTCTGTTCTGCTGAATATCCCCTTTTACATGACTGGGTTCACTTTTGCACTTACTTTTGCTAGATTAGCTACAGAGAAACTGACATTTATTTTGACATAGGTATTGTGGAGACAGCAACATAGATCTTGAGAAGGTAATCATCCGTGTAAAAACGCCCAGTGAGTGGCTGTATATTAGAAATATACAAGAATATAAAAGAAAGTATGTGATTTTCTTTAAAAAGTAGTAATTGCATTTCCATTAATTATATAATATAATCACAGAAAAGTGTTTGGGTTAAGCCTATCACAGCTGCTGATTGAACTTTACAGGTTAACATTTTAGCATGCTGTAATTTTGCTGTTCCATAATGCATTAGACTAATGGGAAGGAATCAGCTTTGCCAGAAAGCTGTTTGTCCATTTCCTTGTCAAAAAAGTATTTGATTCTGATTCTTTGGATGCAGAAAAGTAGAATTCAATTTAACAACCATGGCAAAATAGTCAGATGCCTACTTTTAAAATGTTTTACAGAGTAATTAGTGTATCCTAAATTGTTCAGAGAAGGAGCTTGGGAGATAACACTGAGAAGTTCAAAGGAGCAGCAAAGAAATCTTTGGTACCTTTTAGCTCCTATATTCAGAAAGGAATAATATCTAGTGTTGTTCTTATCTCTCCTTTACAGCAACTGTGCACAGTGGTTATTTATCAATGTTGGTGTCTTGATTTGGTCAGTCTTGATATTCCAGCGATTAATTCTGGAACTTTGATTACATCACTTGATCCTGTTTATAACTACAGGTGATGACCAGTACTTTTCACTGGGCCCTGACCCTTCTTTATGGGTGCTGTGTTTAATCATATGTGCTTATTATCCACAAAAACACCTGTTTCCTTGGGGGCAGCAGATCTTCCATAGCAGCTTGCCATCTGACACTTGGACTGTAACAGTGGTCCTCAGATGCACACATGGAGAAAGGCAAATGTTGTTTCCAACAGCAAGTTTTAGAAGGGCGAGCTGTTTCTTATCTTTCAAGAAATGCAAACTTCTTTGTTGTACCATTTGACATTAGAAAATGTGGAATTTTCAGCAGTACGCTGAGCACATTTTAGTCGTTTGGGGTTTTTTTCAGCATTAAGCTTCAAACATCACATTAGTGAGAAAAATACATTTCTGCAGTATTTTTAAATAGGAAATACATTTTGTTATATTGCTATTGCTAAGTTTGAACAGAAAAAAACCCACAAGGTAGAATGTTCTTATTGCAAACTACACAAATAGTAATTTGTATACTCAAAGTACAGTTGCAGTATTTAATTTCTTTTAGACTTCTGTGTCAAAGTACCTTGGAAAAGGATGTTTTTTATTTGCATATTTCCTTGATTGACTAAATGACTTGTTTTCTCATTAGCATGCCATGCCAGGGTAATGCATTGAATTTGCATTTATTTGCATTAGTTAATTTGCTATCAGGATGGTTAATTTGTTCATTTTTGACTGTTCCACTCCTTTAACACATTGATGGGAGAATGTTTGCCAAGAGAGCTTCATACAGGAGCAGAGAGGAACAAAGGTACAGAGTGACCAGTGGTGCCACTGCAAGTGGAAACACAGTGGACCCAGCCTAGGGCAGCTTTGAGATGTATGATTTGTGCAGAGTACATGTGGTGAATAGGAGTCCTTTTGAAAAGCCCTGGCATGCTAGGAATGTGCCAATAGGGTTGGTATTCACAAGCACAGAGAGCCTGAGCTCCTAGAGAAGCACTGGAGTTACTATACATCTGTAACAGCTGTCTGCAGAGACAGGGAACAGCACAGATACACTAATCCATCTCACGGTGTGTTAGCTCTATCCCTGATGGGATTTTGAACAGAAAAATAAAAGCTTTGGAAACGAAGCTTTTTCAGAAAATAGCTAGGGGCTTTGGGTTTTTGGGGTTTTTTTTTTGTGTTTTATTTTTTCCACTGTCATATTTAAATCAAGACAAATATTGTCAGGCATGTCAATAGGCACTGGGAAAAAATGCTGACTTCTAAATTGAAATTAATTTCAAAATACTGATTTTGAGATTAAAAATTTATTCAGCAATTGAAAGAATATATGGATATAAAAAGAACAATACTCTTGTAATACTAGTAGCTCTAAACCTCCTATCTGTCTTCTATCATGACAGCAAAAGACTAATCAAAGTATGTGAATTAAAATGGAGAGTAGAGATTGTTAAGAGTAAAATAAGCACTAAATCAGAACAAGGTTGTTGCTAAGATATTTTCCAGGATTTTCCTTGCTCTTTTGCACACCCTAGTATATATGCTAATGATTAACATTTCAAATCTGCTCTACTTATAAGCCATTTCATATTAAAAGCATTGGGAATGTGAAATATATGAGAAAACATGTCAAGGAATTCCTCCTATTTATTTCAAGTCTTCAAAACATGCAGTCCTTTGTTTCTTCTCTATTTAAAGGACATCAAGGCTTCTCAAATTGAAGAGAAACCCTGGAAACAAATGAGATGGAAACAAATATTCTAAGTGTGAAGGCTGATTCACAGTCATATTTTTGGAGACAAGCCCTAATTGTAGCATAGAGAATGGACTCAGTCATCTTCATTTATCATCAGAAGATCACGCTTCAAAATACTTAGTGTGTTTTTTATAATCTCCAGAATCTACATTGAACAAATCCTTCTTATAAATTAAAGGCTATATCCAGGGAGATTAATGCAATAGCTTCCTTGTATAAGCTTTTTTGTGACAAAAGGAGACCTTCTGCATTATTTATTTTTATATATGTGTATATAAATATATATATAGATAGATAGATATAATTCATGTCACAAAGTAAGAACATTGTTCATGATATTCTGCACTCTCAAACTAGAATTTCCCTTTAACATTAAGCATTTTGTACCCACAGTTAAATGTACTTAGATAGGCACCTACATTTTCTTTGCACAGTTTAGGTTATACCATCTTCGTCAGTGCTCTATTCAATGTATACACAGCAGTCAAAAGAAACATTTGCATTGATTACACAATTGTTTGGATAATAAATGATCCAAAGCTACAGAAGTACTGTTTATTCTCCTCCTAAAATGACTGTTAGACTGTGCTTTTGTGAGAGGAGTGTATGAAGTCCTTTGCCCGAAGAAGTCAGTGAGTATTTGTTGGTTCAGAGCAATTTGCTACTTAGCATTAAATGCACCAAAAAAAGTTATCAGTGACCTCTGCTGTGTACATGATTCTCTTGCTACAATCTCATATATGCTTGACATAAATCCCATTTCTAAACTCTGGCTTGTATTTTTAGTAAAAAGTCATTTCTTAAAAGATCAGAGGAAGTTTTCAAGCTGCTTCTTTTGATAATTAGCAGCTACTGTGCCATGCCACATATTTGAGTAGTCCAGATGTTCAGCTGGGAATTAGCAGAGTGGCAAAATGGAGCTCCATGGTGAGACACAAAAAATCTCACTAGCATTAAAGTATAGGTTTATTTTGCTGGGTTTCTAAAAATTATTTTGAAAGAATGTATGTTTTTAGCTGGTTAAAATCTTCCATCAGTTAAGGAAAGCAATAGCTATTAGTACTGTAGTTTTATTTGAAGTGGTTTTCCTACTTTGAAGTCACTGCATACAAATAAGGTCACCCCATACCTAAGAGTGGTTATCTAAATTCACAATTACATGCACTTGATCTAGTGTCAAAAGTAGTGTTTTTTACTCTATTTTAGTCTTGTTATCACTGAGAATTCTATGCAAGAGAGGAAAGGTGAATTATTTCCCTTCCTGTACATCATCAGAGAGATTGTTTATTAAACTCTAATTATAGAATAAATTGGTTACAGCAGTGAAAACCCATTGAGGGCAGTGAAGTCGCATGGGGAGAGATAATGTGGCCTGAAGGACTCTTACTGCTAATGCTTAGGAGAGTGAAGCAAAAGCCAACAGGTTAAAATCTGTTTTCTTATGCATTGAATATATTAACTTCAAGCCTGCCTTTGAGACAGTATGCATAGAAGCTTAGACTGGATTTTTTAGGATGCGGCAATGTTATTGCAGTTGCAGTGTTCATGTTTAAGATAAAATGCCAATTTTAAGAGACTTTTTGTTCTTTTTTTGGCAATGAGAGAGGAAGCTGATTTACTCTATTAGATCTACTCCTTTCTTCTGCTTTTGATATGACTGCCTATTTTTTCTTTCCTCTTTTGTGTGAGATTCCATCAAAAGCATATAAAGATAAAATTCTTCACATTGTTTGCTTTACTGAGACTGTGGGCCAATTTGAAAATATTGTTTTATAACCCATGTAAATATTAAAACAATAATGAATCAAGGACTATAATAACAGATTTAGTGAAAGTTATTTGAGTTTCAAGAGTCACATAATCAAACCAAATGTATTACTTTTATCCTCTGCTCATTTGAGTTTAGCCTGGCCAATCAGATGAAAGAGTTTCCTGCTGTTTTCTAGCAGGAGTCTTTATAATATCTGTCATACAGCAATGCAATTTGTTTGCTCATTTTTTTTCTTTATGATTGCAAATTACTGTCTTATTTTCCACTTTTGCTTGTCTTGGTATTTGCCTCCATTTTAGATTTTGCTGGTTGTTACAATATTTGCAATGCTAGATTTTGCCTGCACATGCACACAGACACACACAAAAATTGGCATTCTCCTGCTGTTACAAGGCATAGTGAGAAAATGAAAGCATTAAAATACCAAGGCAATCATCAGGTCGTTTATTTAGTGTCAATCTTGGCAAGCTGGAGGGAAGGACAAATTGGCAAGACTTTATATCTAGAGATAAGTAATATAATTTTTATTTTGACACCTGGATCATCATTTTTCTGATAATTTTTTGGAATAAAATTTTAGAGTGTATTACTTCATTTGTGCCTGTGAATTCTAGGTATCAATTGCATATTGTGTAAATTACTCAGGATTATATCTCCAGGTGAAATGCCAGTAAGTAAATACTTGAAAACAGACCAATAAAAACCTTTTTCTCGATGTGTTGCATCAATAGAAAGATACCAAACCATTCCAAATAAAGGTAAGATAAATCTGCCTCCACATATCAGAAGCAGAGTTCAAAAGAAGACCTGCTATTTCTTACTAAACCAGACAATGTAGCTGGCAAAAACAGGTATGTTTTTGATATGCAATAATGAAGAAGGGTGTGTGTTGCAAGTCTGCCTGCTTTGTTCCAGAAAAAATTGATGGACCAATTGATGTTCTCTGTAGGGGCCTTTCCTTGTTTATGTCTTTGGATCATCATGTTTCCAACAACACTATGTCTGAGCTGCTGAGCATCTCCATGGAAAGCTAAAGTCTATTCTCTGTCCATTGGCTGTTGCCCACCCCCAGAGTGTTACTAGCTGTATGTTGCCCCCACAACTATGATACCCTTGACCCTCCTTACCCTATTTCTGTGTTCAGGAATGCTTATCCTAAGGATATCACTCTTTGAAGGAAATGCAGTTCTTTGGAATGGCTGAAGGCAAAGACTGACATGTGAGGAGACATCAGCTTGGCTTCATCTCTCTGGCTTTGTCTCAGGTCTGAACTGGCCACAATGTCCTGTCCTTCTGTGCTGAGCCATGTGAGTGAGCAGAAGGCCCTGATAAACCCTTTGCTCCCACCTGCTCAACCTCTTCAATCTGGCCACCCACAAACCTCTTTTCCCTTGTCAAACCTTAAGGCTTGTAACCCTGTGGAGCCTGTGCTTACATCACTGACACCATCATCCAGAGTTGCAGTTCAGTTGAACAAGTTCAAGGAACTTGATTAACAAGTGGAAGTAATAAGAAATTACTATGGTCTTTTCCTTTGTAACCAGTCCAACAGAATAATAAAATAGAATTGAATTATGGAATAATTTGGATTGGAAGAGACTTTAAAGATCTAGTTACAGCCCCTTTCCATGGGCAAGAACATCTTTCACTAGACCAGGGACCTCAGGGTCCCCTCCAAGTTGGCCTCAAATCCACTTCCAGGGATAAGGTATCCACAACTCTGGGCAATCTGTTCCTAGATTATGTGGTTTAACTCAGACTGACTGGTTGCTTTGGGATGAACCCCAGTACCACAGCTCTTAGACTTCCTCATCACTCCAATTGTTATGGATTTTAACATCAAACAACATCCTCCAGAAAATGTTTCCCCCCCCCGTCGGACATCATCTCTAGCACTCCTACAGGTGCAACCAGAAGCCACAGTCTAAGTATTTTTTGTTATCTGCTCTTATTCACTCCACAGTCACAGAGCAAGTCAGGTTGGAAGAGACCACAATGGGTCATCTGGTCCAACCTTCCTACTAGAGCAGGGTGACCCCAGAGCACACTGCACAGGAGTGTATCCAGATGGCTCTTGAACATCCCCAGGGAAGACGATGCCACAGCCTCTCTGAGCAATCTGCTCCAGTTCTTGGTCCTGTAAACTCACACTGTAAAGTTCTTCCTTGTATTCAGTTTCTGCCCATTGCTTCCTGTCTTATTGCTTGGCACCACTGAGAAAAGCTTGGAAATATTATTTTGATATCCTCCCTTCAGATACCTGTAGACATTTATAATGTTCCCTCTCAATTATCTCCTCTACCCCTGAGAATGAGTTCACTCTTCAAAATCTGTCCATGCATGACTGAGGTCTCACTGCAGGAGTCAAAGCTGCAAGTGTGACTTGCCTCTCTGCTCCCCCCAACAGCCTACATGAGTATCTCATTCTTTGCCCAGTTAATTCAGGAAATTAATGTGTTTTATATGCAGCTTTCCTCAAATCACTGAAAGGACTAGCTGAATGCCTAGTCCCTCACTTAGACTAGAATTTGTTATTGAAGGCTCTTTTGGACTCTTCTTTGCTATAGATAAGTCTGCACTTCCTGATAGACATCTCTTTGTGCTAACAGCTGGCTAACAGCTGGACCTTATGGCTGCTTTGCATAGAGCAATGTTCTTTCAGAGACTATGACACCCCAAGCAGCTGAGGCTTCTCAGCCATTGCAGCCAAGATCCACCTTAACTAGGAAACCAATTTACCTATCATTTCAGTTGGTTGTTCCGGCTTTTTGTCCTCCAAGCTGCTACCTCTGGGGTTGAGGGTTTTTTTTACTGCCAATGTCAAGAGGAATCTTTCTTTTTGTACTGACAACACCACATTCTGTTACCAAGTCTGATATATTAGTTCTCTCAATGCGCTGCCCATCAAAATGAACACAGCAAGCTTCCATGCACTTGCACTTCCAGGCAGCATGCACTGTCCCCTAGGCCTTATGTAGAATAAAGGGAATTGCTGGGAAATGTGTCTTTCCTGGACTGTTGTCACACTGATAGCCAGACATTTTAGCACACCTGTGCCTGGTGCTATACTGTGCAGTTCAAGCATGCCATTAACATTTACTAGAGGATTCCTGCACCACCTGTTTCATTGACATCTCCAAGACTTAAACACATGTAAATATGAACATGTACTCATTGCTGGCTGGAGTTCCTTTCCATTCACCTACATGTGATTGCATGCTGAGCTATGGCTTAAAGATGGAAGGAGAAGTTACCAGCAACTCTCTTCCTCAAGAAGTATAGTCCACATATGCACTTGTTTCCCACCCTCCTCCCACCTTGTCCCTGGATCCCTTCAGAAACCAGGTGGGGTTGGGACTGTGCAGCTGAGACACAGCTGCAAAGACCATCAGGCTCTTTCCAGAAATGCCTGTGACTGCTGCAAGAGTAAAACTTTTCTTCTTTATCATCAGATAGATTCTTTGAATTCACACATGGAGTGTGCATATGGAAAACCAGTTGATAATATTTTTTTTTATTTAACAGTGAAAGTATTATTCAAAAGGAAAAGTCAGTTTTACTCTTTATTTTTTTTCCCTGCCTCTCCCTTGATTCAGTAAAATTTGCATACTGCAGCACTTGCTCTGCCTGTGTCAAAGACTTGGGGGTGGTGTGGTGGTGGGGAGTGCTATATAAAATCCCACAGAAACTTGCAAACGCAAGTCTCAGATTGAAGGAAACTACTGTGAATATATTTTGGTAAGTGTATTTCAGATGGGAATGCTATAAAAAGTGCATAAATTGCCTGCTTGATACAGCATTTTCAGGACTGTGTTATTAAAAAAAAGGTGAGATAGGGCATTCTGCTGTATCCCTCACATCATTTAATGGTTTTATATTTGTCAACATAGTTGTCAATAAAATTTCATTGCTCCATTTCTTTTTATCACTTGCAAGCTTATGGGGCTACTTCAGACTTTATTTTATTTTGTAAATCAAGGACTATAATGAGACTGGTTTATAATAATATAAAATGGGGTTACCCTGTGGATTCCTCATTCTAAGAACAGCCCTTCCAGACCAAGCTTACTCCCTGATCCCACCAAACTGAGTAATTGCTTCTGCTTGGATTTGAAATAGGGAATTACATAGCAGAAGTATTTGTGCAAAACTTTAATAAGATACAGTACCAAAACAATTATACCAGGCTAAATACCTATGGCATTTATTTGATTGTGCTAGGTGTTTCTTAGCAGTAAGAGATGAAATATATAATTAATTTTGAATGAGTGTGTGCAAAATTGTGCTGAGTTGTCAATGCTCACTCTGCAGATGTATCTTTTGTGTTGAATTAGGTGGAAACAGCAACTGATTCAGATACTGAAAGCAGAGGCCTACGGGAATACCATTCTGTTGGAATTCAAGTGGAAGATGAAAAACGGTAATTTAAGCATGTTCAAAAATCTGTAGTCTTTCATAGCACAATATGCATTTATAAACAGATTTAATAAACAACACCTGACAGGTGCTGCCACAAAATAATCCCTGAAGCCAAATTTCTTATATGCATGTTTATCATTTGGTAACATTTGTGGAGATTACTTAGCAGTTGCTTCACATTTATCTAACTTTCCGGTTTTTAATTGAAGGGAAGGAAGTTAAAGTATTAAATTGAAATAGTGGCTTAATATAATTTCATTATTGTCAGAACAAATACCAAGAGCTACATATTGGAACAGTCTTCCTTCAACAGGACTCCTCATGCTGATACAGCCTTTCCCAGTCCGCAAAAGGAGACAAAATTCTTAGGATGATACCTTTATTCTAAAACAGAATCAGCTTTCTGATTTGTTCAGTCCTTCTCTAGTTTTGTTAATCTGCTAGCCCATGTACTGACTCAGAGGTTAAGCCTGGTAGGTACTGTTTGTCAAGTACTGGACCAGGACCATTATCTCATTTCACAGCAGCTGTCTGAGAGTATCTGGCTGCTAATTGCCTTTTGCCATCATGAACTACAAATAATCTGAGACAATGGACTCCAATGTGAAAAGATTTCACAAATAATCTTTGCTTCTCTGTCTAATATTTTAACACAAAGCTTTTCTAAAATATCATTATTCAGTGTTATATAACAGTGGATAATCAACTTTTAATGGGCACCCTATAAGACCAAAACAACCCCAACCCACATTCTTAAATGTACTGATATTATCTTTCTTTTATTACGGGATTCTCAAAAGTCCTAACTGAGCAGATTTTCAGATCTTTCCACTTAAAATTCTGAACATTGGAAATTTTTTTATATATATACTTTACAGACTTCTATCAGGAAGTTCTAGTTCTGGTAATTAATTTCCAGTTTATTTAGTAACGACACGTGTTATTTTGTAGTATGAGAACAAATCAATATTTGCTTCCAGAGACAATTTAAATAATTTTCTTTTGTACCCTTGCTTAGATCAATGATTCCACTATGCATTTTGTTTTTCCCCTCTGTTGCTACTCACCATCTAATTTTAGTGTGATATACACAAAGAAAAGATGTTTAACATAAAGTCCAAGGAGAAGAACAGAATCCATTCCTTCTCACTGAAACATTATTCTGTCTCTCTGTACCATCACATACATTATTTATATGTCTTAATATCTTTTCTTTTTTCCCTCTTCACCAAGACACGGACGATTCAAGCGCTCGAACAGTGTAACAGCAGCTGTCCAGGCTGACCTGGAACTGGAGGGTTTTCCAGGACACATCACCATGGAGGATAAGGGACTTCAATTTGGCTCTTCATTCCAGCAGCACTCAGAGCCCAGCACACCCACCCAATATAGTGCAGTGAGAACTGTACGGACACAGGGACTGTTCAGCTACAGAGAAGATTACAGGACCCCAGTGGACACCTCAAACCTTCCACCACCAGAGCCCTGGCTGGAGCCAGCCATCGAGACAGTCGAGACCGGTCGAATGTCTCCTTGTCGGCGGGACGGATCTTGGTTTATGAAGTTACTGCACACTGAGACTAAGAGAATGGAAGGATGGTGCAAAGAAATGGAAAGAGAAGCAGAAGAAAATGATCTTTCTGAAGAAAGTAAGAACATTTCGGTATATTTTCAGTATACAGATGATTACTAAAACATGAAATCTGTTAGGATAAAGCTGTGAGTTGCGGTTTGTCTTCACTCATTCTGTAGGAGCAAAGAACCTTAGTACATAAGAACACTGTCCTGTGGCTGGCTGCACAAGATGGTGCTTCCCAGAGTAAGGTTTTGTGGAAGTAGTTAAAGAACCAACTCTAGAGTCCAGTGCAGGATCAAAGTCTGGTATTACATAGAGCTCAGATGGTGCAATAGCTCCATCCACAGCTCCAAATTTGACACATTCTTCCCATTCACTTCTATGGCTCCAGTGCTTGACCCTTTGCCAGAGCACACAAAGTGGTCTTACATGAACCTTGTTTTGCCCTTTTCCTGAAACCTGGGATTTTGCCTCTTAGTGAGAAGCCATTTTAAAAATGTTTCCATTCCTTTACAGGCACTTCAGCCTGTTGGAAGAACAGAAAGCATAGCAGGCAAGAACAACAGTTAAAGTACTTCTGCAGTCAGACAGGCATATGCATTATTAGAAAATTCAGCTGCATTTTCTTATTACAATTTTGTCAAGAATCATTATTATTCTCGCATGTCCTGTGGACACCTTGAAAGGAGTGATGGGATAAAGTGAAAAATAATGTAGACTATTTTGGAACAAGATCCAAGACAGCGCTAATGATAGTAATATATCAAAGTGGTCCTAGGACTCAGTAGCCAGCTCCCTGTGATTCCCTTTGAGGTCAATTATCCTTGTTCTTCAGGCTCAGTTTTATAAATATTTCAATCCCTGACAATCTGAATTATTGTCTCAGCTGAGATTTTCTCAGACCACAAATGAATTCATATTAATTTTTCTTACTAGCTTCTTTCCCTGCACTCTTACAAATTCCACCATCACCTCTGAGTACTGTTTCCTGATCATCTTGTTTCCCGCTCAATGAGTTCTTGCTATGATGTACCCTCAGGTCTTGGGCCAGGCCAGCATGGTGACTAAAAGGCCAATTTCTATTTCTTGCACTGACCTTTTCAAAGCAAAAAGTGTCTACATTTTTACATCATCATTTTTTATTTTACAGTCATATTTCTCTGCTGTATTGTGCACAAGTCTGCCAAGTAACAACAGAGGATTTGGGGTGGGGCTGTGAGTAAGGCTGGTTTTCCTTCCTTGAGCCTCTGGTGCTTTATGGACTTATTTTCATCATAGCAGAGCAGAGCTCAGAATTTTCCCCTTCATTGTATCCATTCCCCTTCATAGTATCCATTGATACTATGAAGACTTTAATATCCTTCTAGGGACTGTTAAATAACAACATATTTTCCTTTGATTAGCCTGTGGAAGATTTTCCAAGCCTTTCATAATGGTTATTCCTCAGTACTTTTTTTTTACATGTCCTATTTTTCAATTCTTCAAGTCTTTGCAGTGCTGAATACTGACGTTTCAGTGTCATCATTTAGAATCCCAAAGCACCTGCTTCTCAGACCACCTGTTACTGATGTAGGAACATGAGTGTTCTCAGTCTGAAGCAGAAGTTCAAAGAGCAAGACTTTGATCTCCTTTGAAAGAGTAAGATTATGTGGGGAGCAAAGGGGAGAAACACACAGGACGTTAGCCCCTCTCTTTCCTAGCAAGGAGTCTGCAGGCAAGAGCTGGACTTCTCCTGCCTCCTCTCTTTGTGAGCTCTTCCTTTTGCACAGCCCCAGCCAGATCTGCAGCTGTATGAAACAAGCAATGGAAACATGCTCATATCTGTACCCCTTCCCCACTCAGAGATGTGGAGAGGCAGCCAGAGCTGTTACTCTTTGGAATATGAAACTGGGTACCACATGAGAAAAACTTGGATGAGCTGACTTTAGCTGACTACCTGTTCTCAGATGCAGAACAATTCTCCTTCCCATTATGTGAACCTATACTTTTGCACTCCAGATATACTCTGGAACAGCTGACTGCATGGTGAAATGGCAATCAAGGTAGTTTTCTATAAATAGTACATAGGAAATGAAGACAATGTGGACTTCAGTATTTTTATTAATATTAGGAGTTAGCAACACTAACTTGGAATATTTCAGTCAAAAAACAAAACATAGTAGCAGGATTTTGTTTCTCTGTTTGAAGAAGGACTTGAATTTGGAAGAGGAAAAGAAAGAGATAAGAGAGTTGATAAAATTCAACTGACATCCTTGAAGTCTCTTTTTTAAACTAACAAAAATGGGTTAATTACCTGTTCTTGGGGGAACTTTTGGACCTCCCTAATAGGCTAAAGAAGTTATAGAATAGATCTACAAAGTGTTTGCAAGGTCAGAATTTGTGTTCAGCTGACTGTCTAAAGTTCCGACTTTTTATTGTATGTAACTCCTTTCAAGAGCTCTTCCTGAAATAATTTCAAAATTACATTATTTTTAAATTGTATCCCTTCATGTAATAGCACATTAAGTAAAAGGAAGTTTTCAAAGAATTAATTTCAGTAGGGGAATGAGCTTCACAGCATTATAAAAACTCCGTGTGAATAATTTTTTCCTGTTGGGTCCTTAAAACATTTTGAATCCCCAGTCTGAGCTGCAGAGGTTGTAAGGTGTGTATCCTCAAGAACTTAAATCTAATAACATCACAGCATGAAATGTAGCTTGACATATTTAAATATTTGCCAGTTCTTGAAGAAAATAAACAGAAATGGCTGAGCCAAAAGCAAATAAATATGGTTTTCCATCTTCCAGCAAGACTACTATTCCCAAAACACTTCACAGCAATGTTTGCACATTCAAACTGTCATTCTTAATGCTGAATCATTTCTTTTTGGCCTGGATATATTAATTGTACGTGAAGACCAAATATAGCATTGCATCTCATAGGAGAGGCTGCCTTTATGATACCACTTATATTTTGTTTTAAACATGGGAACAGTTAAAATAGAACTGCATTTTAGAAAACAATTTCAGTTTTGGTGTTAACACAGCAACCCTGAGATGACCAAAAGCTGTCTGATTGCTATATTGATTTTTTTCTTTCACTGAACCTTTTCTTCCATAATATTGTTTTAAGAACTTCACTCATCAGGTCTTAGAAAAAGAGATAATCATTGCAACAAAAATAACTCCTTTTTTCAGAGCTTTTTTTTTTTAATTTGGTCAGTTGCTGTGAGTTTTATTTTGAAGTCTCTGCAAAGTTCTTATATAGTTTGTGGAAGCAGTTATTTGTGTTCTGTTTATTATTTATGTGTGTGTGTGTGTGTGTGTGTGTGTGTGTGTGTGTGTGTGTGTGTTCATTATATGTAAAAACTATAGATATGTGTCTGTAACTGTTCCCAGGGTTAGACATCTGGTCACTTGCACTCACAGGGTGCCTCCAGGCAAAGATATGTGTTTCTCATGGGTGCTGACTGGAGTTTCAGTTTTACACCCTGAAAATTGTGTTTGGGATTCGTGTGAAGGTGATGACAAGGAAAACAATTTCAAGCGTCACAAAGCTATTGAAGACCAAGAAGGTCAGGACTCTGCATCCCATGAGCACAGTGATGGGAGCAGGGAGAGCAGAGCAGGGAGAGGGAACTGCAGTCCCTGCCCACAGCTTGCAGGCAGGGCTTGGCAGGGGAAAGAAGACAACCCTGGGTTTCTCAGTGCCACCTGCTTGGCCACTGGAGAGCTTCATTATGGGGAACAGCTCCACAGAGCTTACTCTCACATAAAAATCCTTAGATAGGTGCAAAAATTAACTATAGGGTAAACTATGCCAGCAAAAATGTTGCTTTGTTGGTATCTCCTGCATTGTGGTTAGCAGCTCTGCTGGCATAGCAGTAAACTGATCTCTAGTGGGGAAAGAAAATAAAGATATTAGAGTGGGAGCTCAAAGTATCACCTCTCTCTCCCATTCCACTTAATTCCATGGATACTGGAGCATTCCTTGCTAATCCTCTAGCTGATATTTTCACAGTACTAATAGGACTGAATAGTAATAGAAAACACAGAGTAAAATCTCCCATAATTTTAGGTGAATAAAAATCAACAAAAAAACCTCACAGCCAATTGATTTTAGTATATTCATGAATTAATTATCCATAAAAGCTTTCTTAGGTGTTTGACCAAATATAGGTTATCCTTTAACCAAAGAGAAATTACTGACATCATTTTCTAATGCTTTTCACAAACCTATGCTTCAGGAGACATTGAAATTTCCAATTGGAGTGTTGTGAATGACTAAAGAATGTCAACTGTACTGAAACAGTCTGTAAAGTCCTACATGTGGCATCCAATAATTCCTCAAAGCATTTTTATTGTTCTGCTGAAATTTTCTCCTTTTTGAACTTAGCTTTGTTGAGGTAAAAAACAAATTTGCAGTAAGTCCCCATTGGTGAACAAGGGTCCCATTACCCTCCAGAGCACTGCCAGATGGGGGCTGTGCTGTCCTAAAATGCCATCTGAGCATTATATGTTTATTTTTGTCTCTAGATGCTCTGTTGATAGTAAAATGATATTTCTAAAGATTACTAATTTAAGTTTTGAGATTAGACAAATATCGTGCCCTACTTTGAGTTAGGAGGGTGAACTAAATGCCAGTTTCAATATTTTTCCAGGCATATTATTTCAGATTGTGGAGTAATTTATTTACAAATATAGGGGGGAATGAAAAGATGAAATGGAATGGATGGAATGAAAATTTAAATTAAAATTATGTAATTTAAATAGACAGTAATGAATGCCAGAAGCACATTGATTGTTAGCAGTTTTTCACTGCTGGTGAAGCAGTGGCACAATTGAACAAAGCTTTTAACCTGTCAAGATCAGAGTTACAGCATCAGATTATAATCAATTTCATCAATACAGATCTAACTTTCCCCTCTCTACATTTGTGATATGAAATCATTTTTGATTACAAGGTTTTGTAGAATTTCTCAAGCAATTCCGCACATACAGGGAAAGGACACCATTGTGTTAATTGTGCAATTGACACAATCTCTAATCAGGGTGTAAATCCTGAGCCTACTCTTACTGAAGTCATGGTCAGGGTTCTGTATGTCTTCAGAGCTAAAGTCATACAGGACCGTACAAAAAAAAATTGAGTGTTTCATATGCCTCAGGGAGGAAAATTAGGGTTGTGTTACTCTTTCTTGACATTTGGGCAAATACAAAATTATCCTGATGCAAGGAGGTTTATGGATTATATGAATATTATGTCTATTTATGTGTATTGGTAGATTCTATCATCATTTATTTACAAGAAAAATCTTCTAGTCATCACCAAACATCTCAATCTCTTCAGTCTCTAACATTCATCATTTTTTCATGGAGATAATCAATCTGCACTCATCAGAATAATTCCCCAATGCATGAAATTAATAACAAGGCTTTGGATGTCTATTAATATTGTGCTACAGATTATGAGTTGAAGTGTTTTAATACTTTAATTTAATTACAGCAAGGCAGAGTAGCATGAATATGAGAGATTCTAACCTCTATGTTTTATTACATCTGATTTACTTATTAAAATGGAAATAGAGTTAGATCTTTAGTAAATTCTAGGGCTGTAATTATACATGTGTATTCAGCACTGTGACTCAATGGCACATACAACCATCACAGCCTTATATCCCTGACAAATGTGTATCCCACCAAAATGCTACGTTGCCAGTGCCTAAATCTTGACCAGTCTGACTGGGCCTTAAATCACTAATGCTTGTTGACATCATGATGCGTCATGATAATGAAGATAAAATTAATGTTTATTTAGAATGAGGGTTTGGGTAGCTGAGGTTCACTAGAAAATATCAGACATATATAGATTCTGTCAAGACCTATATTTCTGCAGAAGAGCTAAAAGCAATGTCCCTTACTCAGACTATGTATTTGAGCTACGAACTGCAAAATTAAGCAGAGGAAACTAAAACTGAACTTTAGTCACTAGAGACAACCATTATAACCATCAGCCCGTGGAGTCAACCTCACTCTTGTTTTGCCCAGTGAATCATTGAACAAAGCTTGGAATAGGTGATGTCAGGAACCTGCTGCAGAATAATTCCTCATCCTGGAAAAGGAGGACCTCTGATCCCACACTGGGAGTTTGTCTAATGTCCTAAGCTACAGATCACCAAGAGAAAAAAGGAGGATACAAGGCTGTTTGTCACTAAAGTCATTGCCTTTATTAAAAATGTTGAAAACCAAATTAAAGCAATTTGTGTTAGATCAAATGAAACATTTATTTTTATTTAAGTTTCTGTATGTTTGTGCAGGTTTTAACACTCAAATATTCCTTCCTGTATGCCAATAACACTGTAGAGGAAAGTGAGGGGTTTGATGATCAAAAACCCTAAACCAATTAAAATGATTTATTTCATTTGGCCAACAGAACAAAAACAAACCTTAGTGAATTACTCATGCAGCCCTGAACCACTTAACCCCTCTACAATGGATGTCACACAGGACTGATGAATTATGTATATTTCTGTTTAATTTAGTGTTGTGGCACAGCTGTACTGTTTGCCTAACAGAAAATGGAATAGATTTTGAGAACCACAGCTCTACATATTAGCACATGCCTTGAAAGTTACTGAGACTTTAAGTAGAGAACAAAATTTTTAAATTATCTCTTGCTACTACTTGTAGGTGAGCAGGTGTTTCACTGGTCTAAAGAAAGTAGAATTAAAATGTAAAACTTACTAGCAAAATACTGTTTTCACATGCCCTCCTGTACTTATTCTAAATAACAACAAAATTATAAGCCCTGCCACATTCTAATGTTTCCTATATCAGGGGCTGCAGATCAGTTGTGCTGTATCAGCTTTGTTCCACACTTACACTTAACATCCTGTTTGAATTATCAAACTTGGTTTCTCTAAATTGAAGTAAAATATATCAGAGTAATTCCTGTCTACATTTACCCCACCTGTCCATATCTTTAACATTATTTAAAGATCTGGAAATTCTCCTGCTAAAATAATTTTTCTACTGAGACCACAGTTTATAATGCTTTTTAAAATTTATTTTTTTATCATAGAGATGGATGTGGAGGAAAGGAACTGTAGGAAAGGGTATGTAGGAAGGTATAGAAAAGCATGATGCCACCTACCAAAGTGTGGCATTTATCCCAGCAGATGTGGGAGTCAGGATGAGTTAGTTTCTTAGAGATAAGCCAATCCCCTCAGGTAGTACTGTGAACAGAAGGACAGAGACATCTCCAGGAGGAAATTCAGCTCATCTAAAAATAAGTGCCTAACATGGCTGAGCTGCTGAACTCAGATCACTAATTATAATGCATTCAAAAAATTTAATTTAGACAGATGACTCTTGGAAACAAGGCAATGAGTTTGGTCGTTTGGAAACAAAGTACAATGAGTTTGGTCATTTTCTCCAGTGCATAATGTATGGACATGTACATGGACAGTGAGGAAATGCCAACACATCCATGGGGGCTGATGCTGGTTCAGCAAAGTCCTGGAGCACCTGTTTGTGTCCCATTTTGTCTGAAGCTCCTGTGCTGAGGACTTTGTGTATTTTCCTGGGGAGACAACCTGTAATTCCTAAAGGGTGTACCAAACATGAGTCTCAGAGATGTAATTCTGTGAGGATTCAATCCTTATGGTAGGAATATGTTATATTACAGTTGAATGTAGTAACTTTACCCTCAGAACAGATAAAGAGATCTCACCCAGGGATCACCCACACAAGCACAGTGAGTGAAGTAATTTGCAGTCACAGAACCAGAAGGTATAATTTAAGGTACATGTGCCTTTGACATCAGAAGGAACAGACATCCAACTGGTTCTTGAGGCAAGACAATTTCAACAGCTCTCAATTTACATGAGCAAATGTAAATGGGAGGAGTGTCATTTACTTTGAAATTTAAGAGTGTTTTCAAAATCATATGGATTGATGGATGCCCGCTTCAGAAAGCTGAATATAGTCCCTTAGTTTTTTCTACTTCCTTTTCTACTTCCTTAAGTAAAGTCTAACCTGTTTTGACTTATTAATCATTTATTATTCATTCATTATTGCCAAAAGACAAGGTGCCACTGAGTTTTCCTATACTTCAGTCTTCATGTGTATAATCACAAACAACAAAACCAAATATTTACTTCCATTTTAAAATAACCAGGAACTTCATCTGCATTTTTTTTTTGAGATGGATGTTGTATTTACTGCCAAAAACCATTTATTAGTAGTAATCCATCTGTATGCTTAGTCCTAGGTAAGATCCGAAGTGCTGTTGGAAGTGCTCAGCTCCTCATGTCTCAGAAATTCCAGCAATTTTATTGGCTTTGTCAGCAAAATCTGGTAAGTCACTTTGCCTGGTTATTCTTGAAGAGTTTAAGTTTATTCATCCATAATATTCCACAAAATGCCACTTTAAATTTTAGAGTTTAATATTTTTACTTCAAAAACAACTGTAGTGCATCTGAGCAGTAACATTCTGAAATGTTGTTTTCATGTCCCACATCAATTTCCCCCTTTTTTTAAACTTAGTCCTTATGTATGATGTTGGTAGATATTTTTAAGCATATATGTAAATTCAGTAATTTCAGTCTGATTATGTTTTGCTTTTCTCTTTTTGCTGTCTTTAATAAACAAAAGAAAATTAGAAGGGAACAAACACAAGTTTTCTGAGACATAACATCATGGCTTATTTTTGCAATACCCTAATATAGTAACCATATTTCACATAAGGAAAGGGGAAATTTTCACATTAAAATCAGTGGAAAATCATAAAATAGAATAGAGGAGAATACATGATCCAGCTTTCTACGTACCTGAAAATAGGACTAATCATGGGAATGAGATATCTATAATGTTCATGAAATTAAGTTGGATAATTTGTGTTGCCAATTATATATGAGATGTCCTGGGGCTAAAGGAACAGATACATTATATTACTTATGAGGGTTACTGCTATTGTTCTGGAAGTTCATTAGAGACTAATTCAATTCTAAATGTTATCTTCATTAATATGACAGCAGCCATCAGTGATACAAAAGCTGTGGCAAGATGATACTAACCAATAGAAGAACGTAATTCTTCTTGCTACAGCTGGTGGTAGAAAACCTTTCTTTGCCTCTCTCAAATAGCAAGTGTACCTTTTCCTTCTGACTGTCCCTAAACCTCATATCTTGAAAGTACTGAATTTTGTTGTGTGCATGACAGCAGACATAACCTATAGTCTGCTTACATACTTTTCTTTGCCCGTTGGGATTTGTCACATAACTTCCAAGGCAGAACATTTGTTCTGCAAAGACCTACTTGCTACTTTCCACCCATAAAGTTAAGCATTCAGAATACCTGCAATGAAATAATACTGAGAAAATAATGCCAAAAATGTCATACCTTCTGATAGAAAATATTAGGATACATGGTACTCATTAAGAAAGGATCTGGTTATCAAAAACTCTGTCAAAACAAGAATTTTAAAAGCTGTTACAGAATAACAGAGGAAATATACAAAGTCTGACAAGCAAGAATTGAGCACATCTGTATTATCAATTACATGATGTGTGCTCCTATCTAGTAATTTGTTTCATACCAAAAGAAGGGAATCTTCAACATTGTCTGATACTTTCTCTCTGCAAATTTAAAAACACCCTCCATTACCTGATTGATTAAGCTGTGCAAACTAAGATTTGGAGAGCCTAACCTCCACTCCATTTATCTTCAAGTGGGCCCAGCACTTGTGCTCGAGAGCATTACTGTAATAGCAAGTGTAGCTCCTGCTCAGCACAGCCATCAGCTGTTTGGGAGAAAGAACAATTCATTACTGCAAAAGCAATAGAGACTGCAAGGAAAAATCTACAACTTTGTAGACAACAAAACCAAAAAATGGCAAGTTTTTACTTCTCTTTTTCTCTTTTGGATAATAAACCTCTGAAGTCCATAACAGCAGCTTAACCCCACTCGCAGGATTTAGGTTCTGAAAATCCTTCACTTTCATTAAATCAATAATGGGCTCTGAAGAAAGCAGCAACTGCAAAACTGACTATAGTCTGAAGGCTTTTCTTCCTACACCTAATGATAAAGTTTGTTGCTAAATAGTCACTTAGTGCATACATACAGGAGGGTTTCCATAGGCTCCTAAGGCAGCACCTCAGTGCCCCTGGGGAATGCTGCCAGCTTGTGTATTCCCTGTCTCTAAAACATCCAGCATGTACAGGGCTGCCACGTGGCAGTTACAGTGTTCAGCATCTATAAGCTTAAATGTAGGACACAGAACAACAGCATTTAATTGTGCCAGTTCAAAATGCAACAAGGGTTTCAGAGAAATATACTTACTCAAACTGAAATTTAACCATGAATGCCACATATGAACTTTTCTAAAGGATCATGGGAACTTCAAATGGCACATTTGATTATGCTTTGTGTTAGGAGCTCTTATCAAAGACTCTCAGGGTAAATTCTTAGAAATGTAAGCTTCAATGAAGTTTTCCATTTTATGACTCTGGCTATATATATAGTATAACAGTATACATGTAGGATATATATACATATATCCTACATGTATACTGTTCCCACAAACTACTTAAGAAAATGTCATTACTGATTAATAACTAGTCTCTTTTGCATTATTAACATTACTTTTTGTAACACCCTTTTTTTTCTTTGAAGTGTCCTTCTCCATGTTCTCTAGTCAGCACAGATCCTGCTCAGCTTGTATGTCATGGCTGCAGGCTAAAACAGAGCAGCTTGAGCACCATCTAGGTGCTTGTTGCTTGCTTCAGGCCTCCTTCAAAAAGAGGGCTGCGAAGCTGAATTCCAAGTAAGATACAAATAAATAAGCAGTTTCTGAGAAGAAGCAGGTTTAAGCCAATCTTTTCTAAACTTAGTTGGCTGTAATAGTCCTCATTTGTGCCAGCATTTATTCATGAACTGTGGATGTGTAAGAAGCAGGAGGCAGCCCTCTTGTGTCCAGAGCATACATGGCACAGCCCTCTGCAAGAGTTGGGCTGGAGGCCATGGTCTTCACAAACACTGTGAGCAGAGTGGGGTGCACAAAGGTACAGAACAGTAATTAGCCTTGATTCAGAAGGAAATGCCCTTGCAATGAGTGGAATCATTTTCTGGCTGTTTGGAGGAAACTGGGGAGAGTGAGTGAGGAGACCAGGCAGGAGACAACATACTGCAAGATAAGACAGACTGCTGTGGGACTCCCCTCATGAATTTCACACAGGGAGTCAGTTCCTAAAACCTGAAATATTGACCTCTGTAGAGTATGTAACCCCACTGACATAAATTTTAAACTGTTTTGTAACATATTGGGATCCACCCAATGAAGTAGTTTTCAGTAAACACTAATGTGGAGTTGTAACGTTTCCCAGATGTCTGTTATAATCTATATGGTCAGTTCTCTTAAGTCCCTGAAGCTCCCTATTAAAAGGAAACTTTCTTCTAGTGAAGAAGACTTGTAAGTTGTTCTTGGGCCAGATTACAGTAGGGCCTAGATATGGGTGACACTGCATGTTGTCATGCTCAGTTCCAGGCCCTAATGTCCCACAGTGGCATCTGTAAACCCAAGTTTGAGCAGCAGTTCCAAGCTTAAAACCCTTAGAAATGTGTGATTCAACAGCAATGCTGACTTATCTCCCAGTTTCTAGACAGCTGTGGGGTTGTGTTTAAATATAAAATGCCTTTGACCACTAGAGTTGAAAAAGGTGGGGAACAGAGCCTGCCATAACAGCAGTGATGCTGACATAGCAAACTAGTCTTTTCAGTTTTTGGCCAGAAAAGGAGAGATCCAGATTCTGTTTGGCATAGTTTTGACGTTCTCTCTCCCAGCTCCATTCTTTAGGCCATCTAATGGCTTCCTTCTGTCCTGGAAGGAAAAAGGCATGAAACACCTTCACACCCATGTTTACCATTTAAGCCCTATTTCAATTAAGTGGCAAAGCTCTCTTCTTGAACTAGTACCTAGTTCTAGTACTAGTACTAGTACCTGTACTAGTACTAGTACAGTGCTCAGAGAGTATAGGGTTAAGAGTCTGCATACTACCTTATAATACAATTTTTATCCAGCACTGGCATCAGGTTAATTATCAAATACAGGATCATCTTGCTAATTGTCACCACCAATGTTTGCTCCATTAAGTCTTAAGCACACATAGCCTCTTAATTGCATTACCTGGTGGTAGTGTCTTCCCAGTTCCTGAGTGTGATTCACCTCCCTGGAGAACAAACTCCAAGCACCCCATCAAGATTTCATACTCCATGTATACGTTTGAAGACAATGTAAACATCAAGTTCAGCATAGGGTGACGTCTTGGTGGCATTGTTTTGTCTCAATCAGCTATCATGAATGTAATTTTGAACCAGGAAGACTTCAGGCTGGCTGGAATACAAACCACGCTCCCCTTGCCTTTAATAATCAGCAGACAGAGGCTGTCAGCTTGTTCCTTTTTAGAAATGCAGGTCAGCACAGCATATGGTGCTAAGGAACTTCCCATGCCGCACATTCAGGAAGGCTGGCGTGTGACATCCAACTCATTCATGTTTGGGTTGTGTAGGAGGCACAGCTTTCCGGTCCCAGCTCCCAGCTGCAGAGCACGCAGAGCCTTAGCTCTGAGCACTGCTGCAGCAATGAAACCTGGCACCATGCCCTTCGTGCCTCAGTGCACGCCGCTGAAAGCCTCCTGGAGTATTCATGTTCTCTCCTTTGTGCGCTACAGGACCCGAGTGCCATGCCAAGACCAACTTCCCAGGACCTTGCAGGTTTCTGGGACTTACTGCAGCTCTCAATCGAAGATGTCAGCATGAAGTTTGATGAACTGCACCAGTTGAAACTCAATGAATGGAAAATAATAGAATCACCTGAAAGGAAGGTAAGCAGACTGTGGACAATACCATTTACTCCCCATTTGTAGTTCTGCAGGATCCTTGTGTTAAATACAATAGTGAAACACAATAGGTTTCTAACCCTGTGAAGTATTTAATTGGCATGGCCCAATTTTTACATGGAAACTTTTATCAGATATCAGGAGTCTTTTCTTTTTTAACAATGTTGAGCTGAATTATATAATAAATAAAATGAATTTTGCTAAGTTAGTTTACTCCATGACACTTTTGTTCAAATTATTTGATTCACATTCTAAAGGCTAGAACAGAAATATATTCTTATTAATTCAGATGGAAGACAATAGCCCAAGAATTCACACAAGGTAAATTCAGCACTCTGCTACATTTGGGGCAGCTCAAACTTGAACACTGCAGTGTTTAACCCTGCCTGCATGACACAAATGATAACGGAACTGGAATGAGAGAAAAGCATGTGACAGAACATAGCACAGGTCATACTAAAGCTCAGCTGACATCCTTCTGAGGGACAAAGCGCTGCTGGTGAACTCACTGCACCTCTGCTCTGCAACTCCACCACTTGGGAGATGCCCCACATGTTGCTTCCAATCCAAAGGTGAAAAATTGCCCATAAAAGCAGTGTAATTGTGAACTGCCTTTCCCCTCTCTAGAACTTCATCCCTTACCTTGATTATCCCATTGTCCTTGCTTATTATTGTACCAGTCAGATGAAAACAGCATTTGGTTTGAGTCAGTACTGTTGGCCTCAGGTGAATATTTGTTTGGTTTGGGAGGAATTAGGAGGCATTTTGACAACTTTTTCATTTCTTCATGCTCCTCTTGGATTTTAATTTTCAGCCAACGGGTTGGTGGATGGTGAGTTTGCAACTCTTGCTTACTAGTGGCAACTGGAAGTAAGAAATCATTATAGTGACAGCAACAGTGATATTCCTAAGAGGGAAATAACTAAACGTGGAAAAGAAAATAAGATGGGATGACAGGAATGGAGCTTTTATGAAAACAGGAGATAGAGAAAATAAAGACAGGCAGAACTGGCTATAATGGGGAATAGCATCCCAGGCTGTTGCACTGTTCCTGTTTAATGCAGAAGTATGTTTTTAAATAAACTTAGTTATTTAGTCTTTGCTATTGCATTTGGATAGTAGAATGGCACAATTAGTTAAAAAAAAAAACAAAGAAACCCAACCAAACAAAACAAAAAAAACCCAATGAGGAGTCTGTAAACCATAAGCGTATCAGTTCAATTTTTGTATTATTTGAATCCTGCTGTGCATCAAATTAACTGTGTTCTCCATAAGGAACAGCCCATACTCTGGACTATTACCATTACTTTAAGAAATTATATAGCAAAAAGATCTATCATAGTAACCATACCTATATAAATGAAGTTATGGAGTCTTCATCTTCAGGGCTATACAGTCCAGTATTAAACATGAAATAAAAAAATTAAAAAATAAAAAAATAAAAAAATAAAAGAAAAAACAAACCAAAACCAAACCAAACTGATTTAACTTCAAATTTGCATCAAATTTCAAGTGCACTTTGAATTGAAACTATATGAAATCACCTCCAGAGGTCCATTTCTTCTAACCTAAATTAGTGTAAAATACCTTGGTTATAGGCCCTCATATGATATTTTACACTCTCTAAATGGTCCAAAACGATTCTTGATTTAACACCTGCAGAGAAATTTACAGCTCCTTTTGTAACAAAATCTACTGACTTCACTTTATAATTTGATAATTCTTCAGAATAAATTTTCTTTAAAATGGCCCAGGCTTGCAAGCAGAACAATTAGCCCTATGTTCTCTCTCTGGTTGGCGCTTGAATGTTTCCATAGAGCAATTCCTGGAGGAGACTAAACTAATAGACATGTATACACAGCTGCTATCTCATATCCAGCTGAGGCTAAACTCAGTATGATTAATTTAATCAAAAATCCTGTCCTGCTAATCTTAGAGAGTCTTTTCACTTGATCAGACCACACAGATGCGCTGAATTCTTATTGGAGAGACAGTGCGTGTTTCTGTTTATAATGAGTGTAATAATGTGTCAGCTTAAATCAAACAAATCCATATGAAAGTGAGGTGTGCAGGTTGCATGTGCCAATACCTGCAAGGATGCTGGAAGGAAGCGCAGTCTTTTTTCAGGCACAGGACCATAGAATGCATAATGGTTGTCAAATAAGAGGGTTTGTCAGTGTCCCTAGTGTGGATAGCTGTTCATGTAATCCATTAGTCAGCTGATGGGCAAGCACAAATTGAGCATGCTTGATGTATGTAATCAGTATTTTGCATTTCATGTCTTTGATGTGCATGCTCTGCTGACAAGTACCTTTTACACGCAGTTCACCCTTAGTTTTAATGCCCTGTTGCAGGAAGAAAGAAAGATTCCTCCTCCTGTACCAAAGAAGCCCCCAAAAGGAAAATTCCCTATCACAAGAGAAAAATCTCTGGACCTACCTGACAGACAGCGGCAGGAAGCCAGAAGACGGCTGATGGCTGCCAAGCGAGCAGCCTCTTTCCGGCAGAATTCAGCCACAGAGCGTGCAGACAGCATTGAGATCTATATCCCAGAGGCTCAAACCCGGCTTTAAAGACAGAATGCTGCAGAGTTCCTTTTTTTAAACAAAATGCTTGTACAGTTTGTCACTTACCTAGTAATTTTTGTCTCATTCTCTCCACTAAATATGCCCTTGATGTTGTGTTCTTTGTGCCATAAGCACAGTGGAATGCTTTTGATTTCCTCAGAATTTGCTGAGCTCACCGCAAGAACGACTTCTTTTTGTATTTATTGTCTGACTTACAATCAGCTACAATGGATAGGGCTTGTCAAGACCTGACTTATCCAATATATTCTCAGAGGACAACAAGAAACACCTCTTGAGATGGAACCCAGCTTACTTTTTGTTATTTATATTTTTATAAAATGTGTGATAATTAGGGATAAGAAAAACAAACTATAAATGGGTGCATCTCACCATTCACTAGAGGCATTAGCTAATCCAAGTAGAAGGTGCTACAAATGTAAAGAGCAGGAAAGAAAGAACCCATTTATCTCCTTGACCTTCAGTTTCTTTTCCTAGAATCCAGCTAACATATTTACCCATGCGCTCTGCCACTCTTCTCATCTTTGTTACTGCAAAATAACATTAGGCCTCTCATCTCATTCAAGTTTCTGAAGATGAACAGGGATATCCAGCCACTAAAACTCCAAAGTTCATCAGAAACCAAGAAGCATACAAGTCTGGTGATGGTGGGAATGTCCACTAAGAAACGTTTGCTGTTAGCAGTATAACGACACTCTGAAACCTAAGCAAAATTGTAATGCAAGAGGACTTGAGTGATGGTGAAAGGAAAACGGAAGCCTTAAAAAGTTAGATCTTCTGTAGTAAGACGAGTAAAGAAAAAGTTATACTTGCTCCTTTGGACCACTCATTGCATTTTTAACTGTTCTTTTACATGTTAATATTTATTTTATAAACCTTCTCTCTTTCATTTCAAGAGCTGTGCTATATGTACTATTTCAAACTCTCAAATTGTTATAACAATTGAGTTTCCAGGGTATCCTTGAGAACAAAAAAATCTTGCTTGTTTAAAATGCCAGTTGTGATGTTGTAAACAGTTTAAGAAATATGAATGTGAGTGGTAAGTATATATAAGTTTAAATGGTTATGTTAAGGTAAAGGTGAACTGTGGTTTACAATTGTAATTTTTTTTAGAACTATTTTTCTATGCAGTATCATTTATGGCAAGAACAAGGTTCTTTCTTGCTTCAGACATAGGAAAAAAAAACTGACTCAAGAGATAAGTGATTTCCAGCTATGGAATATAAGGAAAATAATAAATTTTCACGCCTCATATTGTCAGAGAGAAGTGGTAGCTACCACAGTCAAGAGGCTTTCATTTAAAACAAATTAGGACAGAATTATTCCACTTCACCAACCTTCCAGAGCCAACCAAGCAATCCAGCACCTAGAAGTCTTCAGGTGAAGACGCAATAAAATGAGCAACATGCAGCCCCCAATACCAAGGTTTGAATCTTATTGAACACAAGTTTAGGTGAAAAGAATGAGAACTCAGTGAGACAGACAGCCCCAGCTACCACATTCCCCGTTTACCTGCTTTAACAAATGCAATGTATTTAGCCATAGGCAGAACAATTCTTTAATTATACTCAAGCACTTTGGTTCTTCACCTGTTGAGCACTTTAAATCCAAATCCCATACACCCTGCAGCCTGATGGATGAGTGAAAACGTGAAGTACCATAGGTTTTGCAGACCTGACATTGCTTCAAATCTGTTTTCTTTTGTTTGGTTGCTTGGTTTTTTCCCTCTTTTTTCCCAGTGTGTGGTATTCAGCATGAGTTCTGTCTTTGGACAACTGATAAAGCATGCTTGGCTTCAAAGTACGAATCTTTAGAGATGAAGTTTTGAGAAGTTCCTGTGAGAAGACACCCCTGTAAATTGAGCCTGGTATCTGGTATATACTTTACCAAATAGCCTTAAACTATATTTGAAGCAAAAACCAAGACGAATGTATATCCTTCAAGAATGCAAAAAAAAAAAAGACAAAAAAAAAGAAAAAAAGGAATAAAAAATAATAAATCCCTGAAATATTCTTCTATAGATGGAAACATTATATTTCCCATCCCTTGCGTTTTCGAGGCATTTTCTATTAAGGAAAGAGCTGAATCCGAGGCAGTGTACAATATTGATGCTATTTCCTATATTTGTTGTACTATTTTAAACACAGAAGTACATGCAGACACTGGCATCTTTAGTCTTGAAAACTGGTATCTTAAAGTGGAGCTGCTAATTAGAATATCCACACAAAACCAAAGCCAGTATTTTTCCTAGATTGAAGAAATTTAAACTAGAGACACACACACCTGTACACATATATACATATGGCAGCTGACACATTTTATCTAATTTTCTGCACACTTCCAGGAGGAATCACTTACTTTACTCACTTGAACCCTTCTACCTGCAGCAACAGGTCAATTAAGCAATTAAGACAAGCTGTACCTGATCCTGCCAGTAATCAGACATTATGGAGACAAATTGTAAACCAAACAGATTACAGATAAACTGAGACCCCAGCTGGCCTAATAATGCTGACTTGGAGGAGTCTGTGTTCTACATTTCCTATGCTGCTATAAGAAAATTCTCAGTATAAGATTTATAAATCTATGATTTCTGTTTGTTCCACCTTGTTCAAACAAACAAAAAAACCAAACAACTGAAATAACCCACAAAAACAATTGGAAAAAATCAAAAGTAAACTAGATGCCTACCAACAAATTTGATAATGTTGCTTGTGCACATTACATTTTGAAGTGCAATATATTAAATTGTTGTACAGGTAACATTATATTTTTTCAGGCAAATAAGCCATTTCAATTTACATATTGTACACCTGGTTAGTTTAGAAAGATAACATTATGCGTATAATATTTGTGTTGCAAATAAATCAAAGTCAGATTGCTTCATTCTCTGACATGAGAAACACCGTATCTTAATAAACATATATCCAGATCTATTGTAATCTGACTCCACATCACAAAAATAAATGTCAGTTACAAAACCAAAGTAGGAGGAATATAAATAAACAGAAAGATAGGAACTAGAATGCTTTCTCCTTTGAGAGTTCATGGTATAGACCCACTCACAACAGCTGAATATAGCAAAATAGTCTGGTGTTTAATTAAATATTAATTGGGCTAATATGTATTCTAACACATTAAAACTATAGAAAGTCTCTGTTCGTTTAGTCATTGACTGTAAAACACAAGTATACTAAACAGAATTCAGAAAATTTAGATAAGGAAAAAGGCCTGAATGGTAAAATTGATATTTGCCATACTTATTTTTGCTTTGTATATTTTTTTAGATTTGAAATTCTTTGTAATTTGGTGGAGTACATTATGAAGTGTTTTATTATTTCACGTCCGTCTGATTAGAATGGTCTTTGGCAGAATGCAAACATGAACAACATTGTACAGTTTAATACCAAAAAATGATATTTTAATTCATGCTTAAACCTTGACACTATATTAGATTTGAAATCAGTCAGGAAGGAATTAAAGCGTGCATAGGAAAGTGCGTGAATTTCATATATATAGATAGATATAACATATATTTCATACAATGAAAATTATTTGTTTTAAAATAAGCCCACGTCCTGCTGTATCAGTAAATTAGTACTCTACTTCCTCAGCACTGCGTCTAGTATATAGTCAAGGAATGTTTGGTCATTGGGTGGTTTTGCAAGTAACTGCTCTGTGACAAGTGTCACCCATGGCATGGTGTGTCACACGGGCCTGCAGCCTCCTCGTGGCCTGTGGAAGCAGTGCCCTGGAGAGGTTCCTGGCCCCGTGGCACCTCAGGCAGTGTCACTGCTCTGTCCCCGGCCCTCTCCATGCAGGCCCCCTGGACCTCCAATCAGCCCAGCTCAGCCTTTTACACTCAAAGCCTTGAGCCTGCCCTGCCCAGCTGGTGGGTTTGATGTCCTCCTCAGCATCTCAGAGTTGGCACCAGTGGCGAGGGCACACTGGAGGCTGTCCCATCAAGTGCTGGTTTGTGCATGCTGATTTGAGGTCTGGAGCTGGTTTGGCAGCTCCAGGTGTCAAGCTGTGTGCACTGAAAACCTGTGAAACCAGAGCCTCAGTGTAAGGGAGCTTAAATGAATCGTGAAGCAATGTTACTCCCATTACTGTTCCTTGAGCATCTTATGATGCAGGGATACCACTGGCCAGCTGCGCTCGAGGTAAGGAATATCAGCAAACCCCTTAATGTCTAGAGAGGTGCTTCCTGGTCTATGACAGGTTGGCACCCACACTTACACAGTGCCTTTCATCCAGAAGGATCTCCAAGCACTTTATTAGCCAACACACAAACTCCAGGCTGGGCTGCAGCTGGGACAGGTAACCCAGCATGGCGGGATGCTGGGGGTTCCCCCACCTGTCCCCACGCTGCTGGGAGTTTCCTTCCACGCTTCCAGCATCTGGGACCTCACAGTCTGAGCCTGTGCTGAAGGAGAAGAAAAGACTCACTGAACCAAGAGGAAGACCTGAGCAAAGCAGAGATGAGGGCAATCAGTGCTCATACCATACCCTAGGGAGTAGGCAGGGAGTAATGAGCATCAAATTAATCTTCCAGAACAACCTCTGTCTTTTCTGTTCCTGACAATGGCAGTGAGGTCCTGGCAGTGGAGGAGCTCCCTGGGAGGGTGCCGGAGGAGACTCCTGGGTCGTGCCAGGCACAGGAGCTGATGGCACTGGCAGCTGATCCCTCTTGGTCAGGAATCTTGGCAAGTCTCCCCTTCTCAAGTGCATTTCCCTCACTTTCTTAGCGGGAGAGATCCATCCGGGGTCCTTGCTGCACAAGCAGCCTTCCCCAGGCACCCTGTTCTCTCCCCAGGTCTGCCTCCAGCCCAGCTAACACGAGGGATGACGTGGGGCACAGCACTGAGGCATGATGATTGTGCTTTGGTTTGGGCAGCTGCTCTCTTGTGAGACTCAGCCCCAGCCCTAAGGGTTCTTTTATGGCAGAGCAATGGGGGCACCTCTCTCTGCACGGACAGGATCAGCAG